CAGAAGATGTTACTGTAGTTCTAAAATAAATATGAATATTCATTAATTCATCTCACTCACAAAAACTAAACCAGATTCAGTATTCCTCAAAATGAATAAAAATAATGCAACTCAGAATATGACGCAAACCTGCAATAATTAAATGTTAAACAACACAAATGTCCTTTATGTATTTAATCCCATACTATTAACGAATGTCTTTGCTTCTGACCTTCGATGATCCAGTTCAACCATACTAATAACCAAAAATTACTCTAGACAAACATTTGTGTCTTTTTTTTATTGCTGAAGTGTGTTGAAATTTCTTCTTCTGCATTCTACTGTACAGACGTAAATTTAAATTTCCTTTAGCCCGAGGCTTATTCATTTCACTTTTGGTGTGAAAAGGCTTTTATATTTGCCAAAAATAGAACTTTTTTATTTTAAAAACAAACAAGCAAGCCCTGTCCAGATTTAAAAAGTAATGCAAAAGTAACGTAACGCATTACTTTCCATAAAAAGTAACGAAGTAACGTAATTAGTTACTTTTTAATGGAGTAACACAACATTGTAATGCATTACTTTTAAAAGTAACTTTCCCACAACACTGATTATTACAGTGTTTTTTCAATGTGATGTATAGCATGTGTGGGATGCTGAATATTAAATACTACAGACAATCATTTCAAGTTCCTCAGTGTATATTAATGAATGGGAAATCGCCTTTGCGCTAAAACGCTTAAAGTGGTAGTAAGCAAGCAGACGAGATGCTGTTTTGTGTTTTTTAGTTTATATTTTGAAAATAGTTTTCATTTTTATATTTTCTGTTTTAATTTTAATTGTAGTTAAAGTTTTAACAATTTTGTTGTGTTTTTGTCATTTTGTATTGTTATTTGAAAAATTGCTTTGGCAGCTAGCTGAAATGAAATAAGTTTCAGGTTTTAATTTCAGTTAAAGTTGATCTTAATTCAAATAACTTTTTTATGGTTTTAGTTAACTATAATCTTGCTCATGACGCATAATCAGAAGTTCATTAACATAAAAAAAATAGTCAAAATTTATAATTTCGATAAGCTTAAGTAACAAACTACTTCAGGCTGTCTAAATAATAAAAGAATGATAATAAAATTATGACATCTAATTCTAAATGATTCTAGTAATTCTATAATAAAAGCAAGTAAATCTAAGCTTTTTTCACTTCAAAGTACATATTTTAATTAATTTGAAGTTATTTTTGCTTACACTACTGCATCCAAAATTAACTTAAAATAAATACACTTTTTAACAAATATACAAGCTGCAAATTTCTGTTTTATTCAACTAACTTGCCTGCAAGTTTCACCCAAAAATTCTGTCGTCATTTACTCTCATTGTGTTGTTCCAAACCTTTATGCATTTCTTCTACTAAACACTAAATAATATATTTAGTTTCGGTTACCACTGACTTCCATTTTTACCATCATTCTTCGAAATGTCTTATTTTCTTGTTCCAAAGAAGAAATAAAATTAGTTTTGGAATGACATTATCTAAATGATGACAGAAATTTATTTTATGGGTGGACTATCACTGTTTATAAGAGTAATTGTAAGTATGAACTGGTTAATACTGGTTAATAATTGCTGTTAATAGTGTTCATCGTCTGTTTTATTACGTCTTAAATTGATTTTTCCGTACATTTCTGCCATATGTACATTAACTGACAGTCACCACTGATAAGCTACCACTAAATATTGTAGAAACGTAATTTGCTGTAAAGTCGCTTTGCAATGATTTGTATCGTGAAAAGCGCTATACAAATAAACTTGACTTGACTTAATACACACTGAGGTACTAGTTGAGATGGTTGTGGTAATCACCTGCGTGCAGTACACAAAAACAGCAGATCATCACTTAGTGCTTTTGCCAGCAAGGACAAGAAGCAGACAATGAAACTGTGGATGTACATTAAAAAAGTCGAGTGAGATGTGCAGAGCGGTCATAACTCGCTCCCTTCTGACTGGAGTTTGCTGCACTACAGGCTCGAGAAGAAAAATAGCTGTCAGTTATAAATAAACAAGATCGTGTCATGCCCTACAGAAGCCTAATTAGTTACGAATGTCAGTACACTGAAGCAGCCTATAGATTTAACAGTAACTATGGATTCTTGTTTGGACTGTAACGATTAGGTGAGTAATTGGCCTGGTTAATCAACTAATGCTAATTGGTTGGTGATAAAAGATGCAGTCGGGATCAATGAAAATAAAAAAATATGCGCTCGATACTTGCTCTTCTCATTATATTTGACTGCTGTGGCCAAATGTAATATTTAAAAGAGATGATGCTCATTTGCTATGGGTTTTTGCAGTGTATTTGCACTGACAGTAACATGTTTATATATATAGCTAGATTTTTCTTTTAATGTTTACTTTTATATTATTTTATACTATTTATTTTATATTTTTTATTTATTTTAAATTAAATGTTATGTTGTGTTATATATTTTATTTTATTTTTTATTATATCTTTATCATATTTTATATATTATTTATTATATTTTATTCTTTTCTGTTATTTTCTTTATTATTTTCTTTTATTTTAGTTTAGTAAATTAATTACAGCTACTTTGCACTTAAGTGTGAATTATTTACTGTACATTTGGCATGGCTGTAATACCATGAATGTTGTTAGAGGCAACAGTAAATTGTTGCATTTTTCAGCGGCTTTGTTCTGTGATTTCCGGCCGGCACACAACAGATGGTATCATTGCTGTCTCGCTTTGAAGAGCCGCATGCATTTTAATGAGAAAATGTATATGGTGAATAATTCGGTGTAGAGCCGGTCCGTAGGACTGTTGCCTTTTAAACGTCCGACATCGACATGCAGTGCAGGAAATGATGTAAGCGAAGGAAATGAATAAAGTGCATTGCATCCCCATATATTAATGAACGCTCAGCAAGGTGAATCCAAACCTTCTAGGACAACGAGAGGCTCTTTGTGTCCTTCCATCTCATTGACAGCAGCCGTTTGAATTGAATCAGTAGCGCGGCCCATTTTATTTGCACTACATTTCGAACAGAACCTGTTATCGATTCCCGTTTTGCCGTTCTGCATCGCTAGAGCTAATGGATACTCAGCCCTGCTCCCGATT